GTGGGGCTTTACACCCAGGTGTTCCCCTTCCACCTCTTCCTTGACCATCAGCTCGTTCTTTCCCCTGGAGTTTTCTCCATCCTCCCCTTCTCTGGGTCGTTTCAGATGGGAGCAAGTGGTGGATCTGACGTACTCCCTGCGCCTTGGAGCGAAGCCCAAGCCCATGGAGCAGGATGAAGCTGCAGTAGAGAGGCTTCGGTATGAGCTCTTTCTCAGCTTCTACTGTGGTTGAATGCAAGCCACTGTCTTTCCCTGGCTGCTCTGACAGCTGTCTCCTGCAGACCGGCAGGGACAGTGGGAACAGGCAGCAGAAAAGAGCTATGCTTGGCACAGGCTTGTCCTAGATAAGCCTGCACAAAGCAGAGAACAGGGCAAGACCAAGGCAAGCAGGACATGCACTTGCCTTTCCTGGCCCATTAGCCAGGCTGTCCCTGGTTTTCCAGACCCATTAATCCCTTCTCCATGGTAGGTTTGTACCCCCAACATGGACTTACGAATGTGATGAAGACCTGGTGCATTTCCTGTATGATCACATTGGGAAGGAGGATGAGAACTTGGGCAGCGTCAAGCAGTATGTGGACAGCATCGATGTCTCGTCCTACACGGTGGGTTAAAGGGGCAGGGCTGCATCAGCCCCTCTGTGCCGTGGGGCTGGGCAGCGTGGATGGTGCTTGGTGTGCTGCGCTGGGCTGGGCTGTGTTTGAGGAGATGGGAGAGAAGCCTGGCGAGCATCATGTAGTGTATTGTGTAATGTGACTCATGGAAGGGTTGGGCTGTGTTTGAGAAGCAAATGCTAATATGAGCTCCTAAGTTGGTTGTAGAGAGAGTTTGGTATTCTGTGCTCTGTGTGTGACCCCAGAGCACCTTGCAGGATCAGCTCCAGTATGCTCTGTACTCCCTGTGTCTAACCACAAGAAATGGGCCAGTTTGATGCCTCCTCGCTCAAAGATTCATGACAAGAGTAATCACTAGGGGGAAATTAATCCTACTCCCATCTGATCTTCCTTTTATTCACTGCTCTGTTCCAGGAGGACTTCAATGTGTCGTGCTTGACCGACAGCCACGCTGACACATACTGGGAGAGCGATGGGTCCCAGGGCCAGCACTGGGTGCGGCTCAACATGAAGAAGGGCACCATTGTCAAGTAAGACACCTCTCCTCTGCATGCTGTCTCACGGCTGGGGTGAGCTCTGCAGCCCCCGCTCTCAACATGAGCCCATCATGGCCTAAATTTGCTTTGTGCTCCCTGCCTCTCAGCCCTTGCTCTGGCTCTGGGCTTGAAGGAGTCTCAACATTGTCATAAGTACCTGGGGATCCCAGCAGCAGTTGTGTGTCCTTGATAACATGTATGACCAGACAACAAGGGGAAGCAGCATTGGGTGTTGAGATGCAGTTACCTTCTCCTCATTTCATGCTTCCCTTTGTAGGAAGCTCCTGCTGACAGTGGATACCACCGATGAGAACTTCATGCCCAAGCGGGTCGCCGTGTATGGGGGCGAGGGGGACAATCTGAAGAAATTGAACGATGTTGGCATTGATGAGTGAGTGGATGGAGGTGGAGAGGGTAGAGTGCCACTTGCAGGGGCTGGATGTGCTGGACACCCCAACCCCAGTCAGTCATGCCAGCTCCAGCCTGGTGTAAGAGGCCTCAGGACAGGCATTTTCCATCTCTGAGCTGTGGGCCACTCTGCCCACAATAGCAGATGGCACAATCATTAGGGCTTTCCAGATCCAATTGTGGAATCCATTCATATCTTGTGTCCTGGACCTGAGGCACCAGCAGGTTCAGGCATGCAACACAGACCATGTTGTAGGCAACTGGATTTGGGTTCCGCTGTAGACTTCTATTTCAAAAGATGCTAACTGCTCTTGCAAGCAGCCAAGTGGATTTTGGCAGGATGGGCAAGGGGACAGCTCTGCAACCCTTGACTGTGCCATGTTTGCAGGAGCCACATTGGGGATGTGTGCGTTCTGGAAGACATGACAACACACCTGCCTGTCATTGAGATCCGGATTGTGGAGTGCAGAGGTAGGGCTGGGTGTTATGGACACATCTGTAATGCACCAGTAAGATACTGCACATTGACAGTACATTGAGATTTGTTCCTCTGGCTTGTACTTTGTGGTACTGTGGCCTGTTTCAGATGAGATGCAGAACCATGGGAAACTCCAGGGTGACCTGGAAGTTTGCAAGCTCTCAGCTTTCATCCTGTATTTCTCTGCCTTCAATTATTTTATTTTATTTCTTTTCCCCCTCTAAATGGCCCACTACTTACTTCACAGAGATATTTCAGGCTCCCAGTGCTCAGTCCTGGAGCTATCAGAGCCGGTCACATTCCTAGTGCTTGCACTTACAGACCTCCCATGCTGGAGGGATTGCTTTTTCATGGTCTTAACATGTTACCCATGGTCTTCCTTGGCAGATGATGGTATTGATGTTCGCCTCCGAGGCATCAAAATCAAATCCTCCCGACAGAGGGACTTGGGGCTCAGCGCTGACATGTTCCAGCTGCCCAACTTAGTGCGCTACCCTCGCCTAGAAGGGACAGACCCTGACCTGCTGTACCGACGAGCTGTGCTCATTCAAAGGTACTGTGTGGAGTGGGGCAGACTGGAGGGGTTGGTGCCATCTCCAGCACAACTATGGCTGGCAGCTGTAAAGCAGTGTGACTCCCTGGAACAGTATCTGGGAGCCTAGAGGAAATAGCAGAGTCATTTGGGTGCAAAGTGGGCTCTCTGGAGTAACTCCTTTACAATCTCGGGGATTTTGCAGCTCAAGTTCACAGTGTTGTGCATTGCAAGTGCAGCGTATCCGTGTGGCATTGAGGGGCAGGTGCATGTACAGTCCCTTGCAACAGGTGCCAGGTCTTTGCAGTACCCAGGGAACGGAAACTTAGCGCCGAGACTGCTGGGTTGGGTTTGAATCAGTTGTTCCTTTTCTGCTTGGGTCCCAGCAGTGTCTGGTCTGGATTAGGCTAGAGCAGATCCCTGTCCCTTCTGTTTTGTAATATTTTCTTCTCTGGGATTTAGGTTCATCAAGCTTCTGGACAGTGTTCTGCATCACTTGGTGCCAGCCTGGGACCATACTGTTGGCACGTTCAGCAAACTCAAGGTGAGCAGTTCCCTCTGTGTCATGTGGGGCCTGAGTCTGGCAGGGTGATTGTGCTTGGGCTGTGGTGAGGGAGAAGGTCTGACAGTGCTTGTTGCCTTTAGAGCAGCTCAAGGGAAATACCTGGCTGAGCTCATTTCGTTAGAGCTGTGAAAGCTGATACCATTTAGAGGCTAGTTTCCTGCTAAAATTCTGATGTGGAAATATGTAACTGTGGGTTAACAAGCAGAATCAAACCAGAGCACTTCACCCTCAAAAGGACTTGGACCATAGCAGCACTGGGCATGTGAGCTGGACACGCATCTCCTCCAGGATCTCAGTCCAGGACACTTTGTTCCTGCTTTTGCTGCCAGCAGCTTTTAGCTAGCTGTGTCCAAACAGCAAGGCTTTTATCAGCAACTGCTTTCTGGCTTTAATAAGCTTTTGAATTCCATCTTTCTCATAAGACTCAGTTCATCCCTCCAGTTGCCTGTTTTCCTCACATCTTCTCCTGGAATACGTGTGCTGGACACTGGTGGGGTGTCCCCAGTCCGTGTGTTTCCAGGCCTGGTGGCAGAAAGCACTGCAATTCCTGTGCCAGCTCAGCAAAGACCCAAAGCATTTGAAGATTCTCATCTCTTTAGAGGAGCTTGCTTTGATGACAGATAGGGGGGATAGTAAGACTGATGTTTTGGTGAGAGCAAGGGTGAAGGAGAGTTCAAGCAACATTAGAGTGTGAGCATCAGATAATGACTGATGGAGAGAGGACTAGGCTTTATACCTCCCTTAAGCCAGAGAGCAAAATCTTTCTGGCAGAGGTGGAGCAAATACTGTCAAGGAGAATGTGTCTGTGTGTGGAAGGCAGTGGCCCTGGGAAGGGGAGAGACCTACTGGTGTAGTGGCTTCAGCAGGGAATAGGTGACATGTTTTGGACACTGGACACTTCTGATGTTTTGGCCATACCTGTTGGCAGCATATCAAACAGTTCTTGCTGCTGTCCAAGAGACGCACAGCTCTCATTACCCAGTGTCTGAAGGACTCGGAGACCAGCAAGCCCAATTTCATGCCGCGGCTCTATATCAACCGACGCCTGGCTATGGAGCACCGAGACAACCCTGCCCTGGACCCCAGCTGCAAGAATGCTGTCTTCACACAGGTACTGTCCCTTCTGGAAGGGTCCCTGCTGCTCTGGGGAGAGTGGGCCATCCCAAAACTTAAAATGAACCACCTAGAGCTGGGTGGAAGGGACAGCTTGGAGCTGGAGATACCTGAAGTCCTCAAGGCCTCTTCACATGATGCGTAGGCTCTACAATTACATGTGCTGATGATCCCATGTCCAGGAATAACATCTAGGAGGGGTTTGGGATCTCTGAGTTGAAGTCTCTATCCTGGGTGTTCTCTGTGGCATGTTGCTAATCCAGAGCATAACAATCTCATTACATTAAAAGGGCAGCAAAGAATGCCTGTGTGACAACAGTAGTGCAGCTGCATAGTCCTGTATCATGGTTTTGAAGCAATGCTGATCTTCCTGTTGTAATTATCCCCCAACCTCCAGAAGATCTATTGCTCTGCGTGTGCACAAACAGCCCAGACTGCTATGAGTTTTAATATGTGTTCCAATATACATTCAAGGCCAGAAAGCTCCCTACAGTGGGCAGCATCTTCATTTATGTTTCCTTTCCAAAACTGAAAGGCTTCTAGAGCATTTAGAGATCAGCTTCAGTCAGTATTCAAAGGTTTGGGGAAAACCAGATTTCTTCCCATTTCCTACCTTTACCTGGCACCAGCTCTTCTGGGGAGGGGATACCAACCTTGATCTTCTCTGCTTGTTGCAGGTGTATGAAGGCCTGAAACCCTCAGACAAGTTTGAAAAGCCTCTAGATTATAGGTAAGCCTTGTCTGGGGAGGGAGGGGGTTCTGCAGAGCTGGGAGCTATGTCCTCTGTCACAACAGGGTGTTAGTGAGGCCTGTGTATGTCCTGTGCTCTGGAGAGGGCTTCCTAGGGCAGGAGCCAGCTCAGCCATGGGATCAGGGCCTGTTTCCCAAGGCATCACCTCCCTTCTGAGGATACAGCTGTCTCTGGAGCTTGAGATCTTGTCCTGTCCTAAGTCCAGGCTAGTCCACCTTAGTCTCCTCGTGTCCCTGCTGTGCTTGCTGCCTCCTCAGCATCATCTTGGCTTTGAACATCATCTTGGGCAATGCCTGGTTCTCCACAGGTGGCCATTGCGTTATGACCAGTGGTGGGAGTGCAAGTTCGTTGCAGAGGGCATCATCGACCAAGGTAGGGGCTGTGTGAGGCAAGGGCTTCTCGTGAGCAAGGTTGGGGGTTGATGTGGTGACCCTGTTGCTGTAAGAGTTCTTGTTTGCTCCCGGTGTTAGTGCCTGTGGAGGGGAGAGAAAAGTCAGATTGCCTCGTCCTACCACCCCTGGCTGTGACTGCTGGGATTTGGACCAGACCTCCATTAGTCTCTAACAGTAGCTTTGATGGTGCCAACGCTCCCTCTGGCTGTCCTCCACAAGCCAGGCAGGGATGGTATTTCTCCTGTCTTAGTTGTTCTGGTGCCATAAGGCTCTGACAGGAGCCTTTTGCTCAGCCCTGGGCCACACTGGACCAGAACTTCCCATCTTTGCTCAATAACTTAGAGGATCAGCACATGGGGAGCTCATATCACTAAAATTGCCCTTCTTTTGGGGTTGCAGGTGGTGGTTTTCGGGACAGCCTGGCAGACATGTCGGAGGAGCTGTGTCCCAGCTCGGCAGACACCCCTGTGCCTCTGCCCTTCTTTGTGCGCACATCCAACCAGGTGCTGTGGGTTGGGGTATCTGAGGCAGAGCTTTCTGTGCCTGGCAGTGCTGTGCTGTCCCCGCTTCCCCACCTGCCAGTGGGGACATACCTACTTTCGCCGGTCCAAAGCTCTTCCTTGTAAAGGGTTGGGCAGGTTGCTTTGTGGCATCTTGTTTTAAGATATGCTAACAAGTGCCTGGATGCTTGTCTCTCACTGGGAATGTTGCCGAGGAGAATGCAGGGGCTAGCCCACTTCTGCTGTGAGAAGTGCCCAGCAGCACTGCAAGAACCGAGTTTGTGATGCTTCATGCTGTGCTGAGATCATGACTTGGAGTTTTGCTTCATACTTCTGCAGGGTAATGGCACTGGAGAAGCCAGGGACATGTATGTCCCCAACCCCTCCTGTAAAGACTTCCCAAAATACGAGTGGATCGGGCAGATCATGGGAGCAGCTCTGAGGGGCAAAGAGTTTCTGGTAAGCTTCCAACCCTGTCCCTGCATGGTTTCTTGCAAAGTGAGTCATTAGCCCCTTCCTGCAGCCTGTCTGACAGGAGCATGTAACCTCTGATCGCACACTGGGACAGGAGGTGTTTGGCAGGGTTTGGGGCAAGGGGTTAGAAGCGTTCACAGCCTGAGTTTTGGGGAGTGCTACTGGGAACTTATGGGAGAGTGTCTGGTCTCTGCTCAGCTATGTGGACTGGAGGAGCAGGGAAGCTCCTTTGTGTTTATACCATTGAGCCTTATCTTCATCTTTGGGGATGTCTCCTCTCACACAGACTCAGCAAAATCCCTGTTCTCCTTCAGGTCCTGGCTCTTCCTGGCTTTGTATGGAAACAATTAACAGGGGAGGAGGTCAGCTGGAGCAAAGACTTCCCTGCTGTGGACTCTGTGCTGGTGAGAGGGACTGGGAGGCTGTGCCTATCCCACTCCTTGTGGCACTCAGCAAGGTGGTGATTTGTGTCCCTGTCTTTGTGTTGTACTTGCTTCCTCCTGTGGTGTCAAACACACAGAAGAAGGACACTCTTAATATTTAATGCATCCTATAGCCAATATAGAGATGTAGTCATGCTGACTACTGCTTCAAACATGCAATGCCCCAGGGTCTGCTAAGCAGTTCTAGGGCAACATATCTCATGCTGTGCTGCTGTCTCAGTCACTCCAGCCCTTGTCTGGGAAGGGAGGTGATGGGGGATCAGGCACACTGTTGCCCACTGGCAATCTCCCTAACAAGCACACACCTGTGGCCTGGGCAGGTGAAACTCCTGGAGGTGATGGATGTCATGGACAGAGATACCTTTGAGTTCAAATTTGGGAATGAGCTGACCTACGACCAGCGCGTGGTGGAGCTGATCCCCAACGGCAGCAGCACCGTGGTGCGCTACGAGGACCGCAAGGAGTTCATCCGCCTGGTGCAGAAGGCTCGGCTGGAGGAGAGCAAGGAGCAGGTAACACTGTTCCATAGCATCCGTGGTCATTGGGGCCCCAGAGGCGTGTCTCCCTTAGCCTGTTTCTGCTAAAGTGCATCGTGGTTAGTGTCCCTGTGCTCATCAGTGCAATAGTAGATTGCCTACGCAATCTTTATTGGTGAGGTCAGGGAGCCTGTGGAGTTGTTGAGAATCAAAGCGGCTTGCAGAAGCATGGGAGATACAAGGTTTTATTCCCAGTTCTGACATGGGCTTCCTGAATGAACTGAGATGCATCTCTGTGGGATCCTGTTCCCTTCCTCAGGTTCATTGGAGCATTTGCTGAGCAGTCACCAGGCCTGTATCCAGTCAAGTCAACTGTGACCCAGGGAAATGGGCAAGACATGCTGCTTAGCTGCCCTGTCTCCTTTTCAGATCATGGCCATGCAGGCTGGGCTGCTGAAGGTGGTGCCTCAAGCTGTTCTTGACCTCCTCACCTGGCAGGAGCTGGAAAAAAAAGTCTGTGGAGACCCTGAAATCACAGTGGATGCCCTGAAGAAGCTCAGTAAGTGAAGGACTCTGTTGGAAACTTTCTCTGAAAAAGACTGTCTTCTCACTGTGCTGGGATAAGGAGAAGTGTGGGAGGTGGATATTAGCCTATGTACTTCTTGCCTTCAGCTGGGTGCTGATGAGGGCAGGGATGTCCCATGTCTCCCTGCTTGGCCTCAGAGCAGAGGCTGGAGCATCCCTATGCTGCCAATATCTGAGCCGATGTGGATCTGGTTGTGCCTCCTGGAAGGAGATGGACTGCCTGTGTCCTTCAAAGCCCGAGTCTACATGCTCACACCCTGCAGGCACCTAGAGGTTTCTTCCTGCCCTGGCAGAGGACCTCTGGGTCAGCAGGGAAGGCCCTGCTCTAATTTACCCAGGAAGAGCTTGGATCTTTAATAAATTCCCTTTCTGTATCCTTTCTGCCAGCTCGGTTTGAGGACTTTGAGCCATTGGACACCCGTGTTCAGTACTTCTGGGAAGCACTCAACAACTTCACCAATGGTGAGTGATTTGCTCTGTCCCTACATATCTTGTGCCATGACAGCCCTGGCCTGCTGGCTGGGAACTGGGATGGCGAAACCACCCTAATAGCTGCCTGGGGAACAGATGGGAGCTAAGGAGAGCAAGCTGCTGGGCTGAAGGAACTGCTTGCTAGTGCTGGGGGTACCTGGAAGTGGCTCCACATCTTGAGTCCCCCTAGGGTCAGTTGATGTCTTTGCTTTTCCTTCACAGAGGATCGCAGCCGTTTTCTCAGATTTGTCACTGGCAGAAGCCGCCTTCCAGCACGGATCTACATCTATCCAGACAAAATGGGGTGAGTCCATTCTTCCATAGGCTGCAAGGCTGACAGATCCCACACCAAAAGCATGTGTGGTCAGGTCTCCCCTGCCTCGCTGGCCTGCTGGTTCTGACCAGTTTGTCACCCTCTCCCCAAGCTCTGAGACGACAGATGCTTTGCCAGAGTCGTCGACCTGCTCCAGCACCCTCTTCTTGCCCAACTATGCCACGTAAGTTTTGGAGCTTCCCTGAATCTGGAGGACTGTGTTTCTGGGCTCTCTTCTTAACCTTGGTGCTGACCTGTAGGGCCCCATCACTTTGGCACACTTATGTCCCCCTGCCTGTGCCATGTGGCTGCTGTGATGCTGTCTGTGAGCAGCTGGTGAAGCATAGCCTCCATCTCGGAAAGCATCTTGTCCTCTCAGATGGCAAATGCAGCAATGGCAACTCCTCCTTGTCTTTTTTCTTCCCTCCCCCACCTCCTGCCGTGCCTAGAGCCAAGGTATGCGAAGAGAAGTTGCGCTACGCTGCGTACAACTGCGTGGCCATTGACACAGACATGAGTCCATGGGAAGAGTGATGCTGCAGTCTGACCAATCAGCATGGACAATCGTTTGACAAAACTGTGCCGTGGGAGGAGCTCCCTTGTCCTTCCAGGATGTATATATATAATAAACATATAGGTGTGAACCCTGGCTCCCCAGAGCGGTAACCAGCATCTCTTTGAATGTGGAGGTTTGGGTCTTCAGCAGG